CTCCACAACTAGACTGAAGAACAAAAGGACAGCAACTTGTCTGTTCCCCTTCCCTGATTCCCCAACGCTGTTCCCCTCCCCCAATTCCCCAATAAAAATAAATAAATAAATAATTTTAAAAAATCCTTTAGAAGCTCCTCTTGGCTATTTCGAAGATACTCTCAATTTTTGGTCCCTGCAGCATGCCAAAATACAAAAAAGCAATAGAATCAACAACACAAAACAAAGGGATGTGTGTGTTTTAAGTAGTGTAGCCATTTTTTGAATGAATCTTATACCAGACCTCAATTCAGAAACTAGGTAAAGGCAAAGCTACTCTCTGCAGAAGGGAGGGGCAGAGGTAAGTCAGCAGCTATTCTCCTGACTGGCTCCTAAAAACATGTCCTTGGACTTTGTGCTAAGGAGCCCCGGGGGTCTGGCTAATCCCCTCAGATGAGCATCCAGAGTTCTCCAAAGTCAAGATCACTGCAACTTCTCCCAATGCATGTCCCGCCCTCTTGTCTCTGTCCTAAATTTATGTACATGGTACTTAGCTCAATCTCCAAAGCTGTCACTTTACTAGAGGCATGCACTTGCTCAAACATCTGTCCATTATCTATCCTCATAGGACCAGGCAATCCCCTTCTGGCCCTCCTCATCCTGTGCTCCCACCATCCATCCTCACCCCCTCGACTCACAGCCAAGTCTCCCCAGGTTATACCCTCAGCACTAGCTCTCAGTTCTGGGAGAACTTATGGCTGACATAACTGAGGACACAAGGGTCTATTCTCTTGAACTGTTCTTCAATTGTTTCTTGTGTAACAGTCTTATCTTTTCACAAAGATTTAAGGTTCCTACAAAGTCATTAAAAAGATCTTCCTTGGACTTTGGAATCAGGGAGATCTGAATTTAAACTTGGCTCTGCTAATTACTGGTTGTCTTACATTTATCATTTGAACCTGTTCTCTCAGGACTGCAGTGATAAGGAAATTATAAATAAAGATGATGATATCATAGGTGAAAAAGTCTATCTATTTGCTTCCTTTCTCCCATCACACCATGCCCATCCACCACAGTGGCAGACACACAGCAATTAATAATTTTTTAGTTATGTTTTATTTATACTTTTGCAAAGTTGAATAACTTTAAATGATTAAAATCTTATGTTACACTTACACTGATGTTCACCTAATGATATGATTGTTCCATTCCTGCCCTTAATTCTAGCATATTTTTGCCTTTAAAAGCTATTCATTTGTTATAATTTGGCAAGCAGTTTTTGTGGCACCTCCTCTGCCAGCTTGACCAGAACTCTATAGCAATGAATAATTTCTTCATTACATTCCACCAACATGCAGTAAGGCCCCCGCTACGGGGAAACCTGCCCCCATGGGAGCTATAAAAGATGTAGCTCTGCTCCTGGCCGTCTTTATTTTGTTGATGACTATAGTTTCAAGACTTTAAAAAGCCAGGTCTAGCAGAACAGGAACCAAGCATTTCAGGGAAATTACTCACACTCAAGAATGACTGCCAAAGCAATGCAAGATATGCCCATTATCTGATCCCAAAAGCTAATGGGCAGCTTTAATGGAGCTCACTGTGGCTGGTAATGAGGGAAGAGGCATAAAACTCAGGCCGTTTTGAAAGCATGTGCAATAAAGATGGACAAAAGTTTTCCCAGGAGAAAATACTGGCTGTTTTCCTGCTGGACAAAATCAATAAGCCCACATTATTGAAAAACCAGGAAGAACCTGGGCTTAGGGGGCTGGGACGCTGAAAAGCAAATGGCTGTGTTGGTGGCAGAATTAGGGTGGCAGAATTAGACCCAATGCGCCTGCCTCAGCGCAGACACGGCCGCAGAGCCTACCTGTGAAAATGTGCTGCTCTTGCATTAAGGATGCTTTCTTGCTGCTGCCACCGCCAGAGTCTTCGCCATGCCCAGAAGGCGGCAGGCAGGGCTCTCTGCTGGAAGTGACTGTCTGCTCTGGTCTGCAACAGCTGAAGTGAAACGAGTGACCTTTATTAGTAAGGTCATTTAAAAAAAATAACCTTTCAGGGTCACACTCTTGAGGAAGGTTTGCTTCGTACACAAAATTGAGAAAAAGATTAAATCATTATTTTTAATCTTTGCCAATATGGTAGGTGAAAACTGAACTATGATAGGTGAAAAAATTTCACTTTAATTAAAAGTGGAGTGAGTTAAGCACCTCTTCATATATTAAATGTGTCTGTATACACATTTATATTTATCTAAATTTTTTTCTTACGGCTCAAGTGTTCATATACATTGCCTGTTTCACTATCTGTCAGCATTTAACTCAGTCACACACACACACACACACACACACACACACACACACACGGTCTCACAATTAAGTTCGCGAACTCATCCCAGAAAAAGTGCTGTGTACCTCGTTGCTGAATATCACTATGGTCACCTTTGAAGCACTCCCCTTGGGAAGCTATGCACCAACACCAGTGCCCAGCCCACCCTTCAAAGCAATTTTGGAGCTCTTTCTGAAATGGCTATCAGAGCTGTTGTTATATTACTCTTGATATCCCGAATGTCATCAAAATGTCCTCCTTTCAATATTTCCTTCATCTTCAGGTAAAGAAAGAAGTCATTGGGAGCCAGATCAGGTGAGTAGGGAGGGTGTTCTAATACAGTTATTTGTCTACTGGCTAAAAACTCCCTCACAGACAGTGCCGTGTGAGCTGGTGAATTGTTATGATGCAAGAGCCATGGATTATTGGTGCAAAGTTCAAGTCATTTTCATCTAACTTTTTCAGGCAGCCGTTTCAGCACTTCCAAATAGTAAACTTGGTTAATGGTTTGTCCAGTTGGTACAAATTCCTAATGAATAATCCCTCTGGTATCAAAAAAGGTTTGACTCTTTATTTGGACTGACAGAATTCTTTTGGTCATGAAGTATTGGCTGACTTCCATTGTGCACTTTGACATCAGGGTTGTATTGGTACACCCATGTTTCATCACCAGTGATAACACAGCCCAATACATCATCTTGCCTCTTCAAAAGGTCTTGGCAAACTTCGACTCTCCTTTGCTTTTGTTCATCGGTGAGCTACTTTGGGACTATTTTTGCACACATCTTTCTCAAGCCAAGATTTTCAGTTAAGATGTTCCTAACCGTTTCTCTATTGATGTTTACTTTGTCTGCTATGCTTCTCACAGTCAGCCAACAATTTTGACCAACAATTTGATGAATTTTTGCAATGTTTTCATCAGTTCTGCTTGTTACTGGCTGCCCTGACTTCTCTTCATCAGTGACGCATTCTCTCCCCTCAGAAAAACTTTTACTCCATTTGTACTCTGCCATTTTCTTCATGGTACTCTCCCCATAAACTTGGACTAACATGTCCCTGATTTCACTTCCACTCTTGCCAAGTTTAAAAAGAAATTCAATGTCTGTTCATTGCTCTAATTCAAGCTCAGACATTCTCGCGACGGCACACAAAAACACACAATAATGAACGCCACTCAGCAAGACACCGTCACACATTGACATGAACACAGCTGTGAGACACTGATATACCAAGGTTATGAAACCTCACTGAGCTGTTTGTATAGTGCTGCCAATGTAAGCACACAGTGCCGATTTCATGAACTTAATTGTCAGTCTATATATATGTTTATAGTATACATGTGCTTTTTAAACCTTAAGAAATTTCTTAGTTCTTTGTCATGCATGTTATCAACATTGTTGCCACCCTGTAATATATCTTTTGAGTTTATTTAAAATGTTTTATCTGTAATACAAATTATTTAAATTTTTAAGTAATTATAAAAGGCTACTAGTATTTCACTGATATATCAATAGGAAGACAGGCAACTGACATAGAACATATACGCCTCCATGATCCAAAACCTTGTGGGGGAAAAAGCATATATACATGTGTGGCAGTTTTTAAAACAGGACTGCAAATTCTTTGATTCTCCTTTACTGAGAAGTGGTTTATGTCCTCTCCTATGAATCTGGGTGGGACAGTTAGTTCTATGACTAACAAGACTATGGTGAAAGTGACACTGTGTGACATCCAAGGTAATAGAGCTTCTGTCCTGTTTACTGGAACACTCGCTTTTGGAGCCCTGAGCTGCAACATAGGAAGTCTGACGACCCTGAGGCCGCCATGCTGTGAGGAAGTTCAAGTCTCTTGAAGAGGCCATATGTATTAATAGGTACCCTGGTTAACAGTCCCAGTTGGGCTCAGTCTTCAAGTCATTCCAGCCCAGGAACCAGACAAGTGAGTTTAGAAACTTCTAGATGATTCCAACCTTCTGCCATTAGAATCTTCCCAGCCGAGGCCCCAATAACCATGGAGCCATCCTTGCTATATCCTGTCTCAATGTTTGACACACAGAATCCTTAAGCATAATAAAATGATTGTTTTAAGCCACTGAGTTTGGGGTGTTTTTTTTTTCTTTTTTAAGATTTTATTGGGGAATTGGGGGAGGGGAACAGCGCTGGGGAATCAGGGAAGGGGAACAGACAAGTTGCTGTCCTTTTGTTCTTCAGTCTAGTTNGCTACCTTCATTTATTCCTGAGGATACCCATTGTCGACGAAAAACATCCAGCCTAAGAGAAAGCTTATAAGAGTTTATCTGAGTCAAAGTGACAATTGTCGGGAAGCAAAGTCTCAACAGATTGAGAAAAGGCTCCAGAAAATGTCCGTTTTGCAACTTATTTTATACATTAGAATCAAAGGAGGAGGGTTACATGAAATCCATTGGTTGTAGATTAAGTGGGTGGGAGAAAGCAAAGCGGGGAAATCTCTGGGATTGGATAAAAAGAAAAATGGAGAGACACAACGCTTCTTTTACATTGGTGGGTACAGCATAATTAACAGCATTTTACAGCACATAGAGATAGTATTTGGGGAACAAGATAACAGTGAGGGATTCTGTAGTTTCCCGCTCTGGTGTAGTGGGTTGTGCTCCGTGGGGGGTCCAGAATAAGAGATTACTCTGATATTGTAATGGTATGTTATCTTAGATGCAAAAAGACCACAGACAGGCTTAAGGTAAAGACTGACCTTTGTCAAGGAAGCTAAAGGCCAAGGATGTGACTTCCCGCCAAGGCCACCTTTGTTAGGAATTTTTATGTTCAGGCTATCCTCTGTGGTTATTTTCAGTCTCCTGAGCTTGTCAGGTTTAACATGTGGCCCCTTTTCCATCCACACTATGACAGTGGTCCCTAGTGAATCCCCATTTCTCCTCATCCCTCCCAATTTTGCATCAGAAAGAGCAACCAACTCCAAAACCGATCCCTGTTTCTCGCTGATCCTCAGAATCCTTCAGTGGAACACAAACCTTACGAATTCCTTTCCCTCAGGTGGAGGAGCACTCCAGGGTTCCTACAGTCAATCTGACTTGGCCAAACAGCTTTGTTCCTGGCTGATTAGGCTTTAATGGTGCTCAGTGTCATTAATCACTGGGAAATGCGCACTCCTGACCCACCAGAATGGCTAAAAAGACTGTCAACACCAAATGCTGGTGAAGATGTGGAGCAACTAGAATTCTCTCGTATTTGCTGGTGGGAATATAAAATGATGTGACCACCTACCTATAAGATTGGGCATATACCCAACCTATGATCCATAAGTCTACTTCTAGGTATCTACCCAAGAGAAATTGAAAACAGTCCACTAAAATAAATGTTCACAGTGGCTTTATTTCATAATGGCCTCAAACTGGAAACAACCCCTATGTTAAAATCAATCAAAATATTGTCTTATATTCATACAGTAGAGTACTACTCAGTAAATAAAAGACAGAACTACTGCTACTCAATCTCAAAAACATTATACTGAACTTTAAAGGAAGCCAGATACAACAGAGCACATACTGTACGATGATCCTATTACGTAAACTTCAGAAACATGCAAAATTAACCTAGGATGACAGAAATCAGGATAATGGTTACCTATTGGGTGGGGATGGACTGGAAGGGGACATGAAAGCTCATCAAACTGTTTACTTAATATCTGTGCCTTTAACTGTTTTTATGTTTTTTTGGTTTTTTTTAATTGAGCTAAAATTTTCACTGGTGGTTAATAAACTACCATTTTTAGTCATAATTCATGAGTTTCCACTATAAATTCTGTTCATATTCCTAAGACATTAAAAAAAAACCTAAGAATTATGGAAAGATAAAATATACATATTTATTTGGAACTCTGATATGCTAAACTCCAAACCAAACCTGTGAATACTAATAAGTCACAAATCAATTCTAGGGGTTAGGGGGATAATTAATATTTTGTGCTGGGTACTGCTGCCTGTATTTTACATGGATTATCCCACTTAGTTTTCATGACAACCCTATAAGATAAGGACTATTATCAAATCAGCTCCATTTTACATTTGAGGAAACTGAGGCTAAGAGAGACTGAGTTGTTTGCCAGGGGTCAGTGAGCTGGCAAGTGGTAGATCGAAGGCCTGAACTCGGGCCTGTCCAGCTTCCTCTGAGACAGGCTCTCAGGCACTATGCTCCCTCATGAACCAGAAAGACGGGAACCTGAAAGCTAAGTTTTCTACAAAGATTCAGCTAAACCAAAACATGATAAAATCTAAATCAAGCCTTCACAATCCTTCAAGCCTTTGGGCTAATCCCTGTCTCCAATTCACCCTCCACCCTTTGTCCCAAGAGTGTAGTTGTAAATTTGCCCAAGCCTGTTCCCCAACAAAAATCCTTTTAGGGCCGGCCAAGTGAATCATTGGTTAGAAGTAGGCTTGGGACGCCAGCTCTGAGCAGCAGGACCCCAGTTCGGATCCCACATGTGGGCAAGTGAGCTGCGCCCTCTACAGCTAAAATGGTGAACAACAGCTCGACCTGGAGCTGGGCTGCCGTGAGTGTGGCAACGGTGTAGGCTGCAGTGGGGCTGGCCGGCAGCTGGTGTGAACTGATGTGAGCCGCTGTGAGCGGCCATCCAATGGCCAGCAAGCGACTGCCTCACCCCGGAAGAGCGCAATGATAATA